ATCATCGTCGGTGTCCTCCCCTTGTTCCTATGCCTACATCTTCTATTGCTTCTTCCTTTTCTTGTCCTCCTTTGCCTTCTTCAGTCGCTCACCCTCAACGTGATTCACTGTCCTCACGACAAAATCCCTCAGCAACGGCGCCGGGTGATCCATGAGGATGAGATCCCTCGACTGGTCCCGCCCTCTCAAAATTAGTAACACGAGGTTGGAAAATGAATTGAAGAGAAGGCAAGAGAAGGGGAATCTTACAAAGATGATGTAGCCTGACTCGGCCGCATTGGAGGATGTCTCGGCACCGGGTAGACAAAGTCGAGGGTGGCACCCGCATCATCCCACAGAGGCTCCATCGCCTCCTTGATACATTGCGCGATCTCAGAGTTGAGGAGCGTTTCCTCGAGAGCGCCATTCCATCGAACGACGCCTCAGGCGCCATCGCTTATAGCGGGAGCTCACGCGTCATCAACGGCGCCACCCTCCTTGCGTGGTAATCCCCGATGATGCCTAACCCCTTTAGGCCGTTCTCCTTCAAGATGTGGATGGCGGCGATTAGTCTTATATCTTCTTTTTATCCTTCTCTAGGACGCCCCACTTCCTCCACTGCTCTAGGGCCTCTTCGGTCAGGCGCCCGGTGAACTCCAGTAGAGGATCGGCGGTGTCGTTCTTGAGGTAGAACCACTGCGAGTGTCACCCATTGTTGGACGTCGAGAGCCGCATGGATAGGTACTCGCTGACCTGATTGTTCCAAAGTTGGATGTTGGCACACCCCATCGACATGTGCAGCTCCTGCCTACCGCTTTTCTCCCTCTTCTTCTGGAGGTTGATGATGAAGAAATGCCTCCACAAGTTGAAGTGGGGGCTGATCCCTAGGAATCCCTCGCATAGCGCGATGAACGTTGACATGTTCTGGATCCCATTGGGATTGAAATGTTGTAGCTCAATCTTGTAGTAGTGCAGTAGCCCCCGAAGGAATTTGTGGGCGGGGGTCATGAGCCCACGCTCGTGGAAGTGGGCGAACGACACCACGTAGCCATCGGGCAGCGACGACAAATCCTTGTCACCGGGTAGCAACCACTCCTCGACCAAGGTCTGCACGCGAAGAAGAGCACGACGGACGAGGGCTTCCATGCGCTGGAAAGTGATGTCGGAACGGCACCATGGATCCATTGGAGGCGAGGGCGGTTGGATGCAGGATCAATAGTGGCGGAGATGTGGAGGTAGGAAACCTAAGCGTTGGCAACGGCAGCGTGGCTGCGGAGGTAGGGATGCACGCGTGCGTATGAAACACGGAGGGCTAGCTCTTTGGTTTTATAGGGGCGACGGGTGCGAGAAAACTAACCGTCCGCCTAGATCTCCATGCCTGCCATGACCTATCAACACGACTCATCGTGGGGCGTGCGCACACAACCTATGGCCGTCCCTATAGAAAATGCGCCAGACATTTTGCCTCCCCGAACGGGCCACGACCCGTCATAGGTAAAAGGGATATGGAGCTAAAAATGCTCCTACGGCCCATCTAGGCCTAGGAGTTCAAAGGTTGGTCCACCGACGGGTTCGACAATCGCTCTAGGCACCTTTAGAGTGAGGGGTGGAGAGGAATGGGCCCGCTAGCAGCCAGAACCCGGCGCACGAGCACCACGAGCATCCCGGCTCATGTTTGAGTCTTGGCCAGATACGATCCATGGTTTTTCCTCAAAAAAGGCATAGAGTCCTCGGGACCGGTCGAATGGACCGAGAACTATATGGATTGACCACTGAGAATCTAGAGTCGGTCACCAAGCTAACCCAAGCCGGATCCCCCCGAATGGGATGCCGGGCCCCACTCAGACTAGCCCATTAATAGCTCATCGAGCCCCATGATTCGTCCATAGAGGAAAATCATGACATGATTCAACCCCTCTGTTTTTATGGAAAAATGCTTAAGGGAAGATAATCGCAAAGATGAGCCGATCCTCGACCGGACCCCTGCTATGGGCAGGGGCTCAAGGAAAGTTGGACTCGCATGAATACCAAACATATGGTCGTAGAACAACAGACCCCCGTAGGGGTCAAAATTAGGACATACCTTTTCTGACCCACCAAATCTCACGGCTATACCCCCGAGAGGTCCGATCTCGACGAAAGGGAATCACCGTCCCCAGGTCACGCCGAGGGCAACAAAAGACGGCCATGGCCCTCAAGGTCCTCCCATTCAAAAAGCCTCCGAAAGAGTATTCTACTCCTCCGCATGCTTGGGGCTACTGTCGAGGACCAATACTAGGGTACCCAAAGAGGAGGATCTAATGGTCATCAACATTGATTTATCCGAGTAGTCAAGATCGTGACTATAGCTCCAACCAACCCCCAGGCCCGCAGGCTCCGCCTCGCCCGACCTCTATGGGCGGGCTCTGCCTCACCCAACCTCGAGGCCGCGATCTCCGCCTCACCTGACCCTCTGGGGGCGGGCTCCGCCTCGCCCGATCTTTGGGGCAGGCTCCGCTTCGCCTCGAGCTTTAGGGACAGGCTCCGCCTTGCCCGACACCTTGGGTTCGTACTCCGTCTCGTCCGACGGAGACCCATACCGCCGCCAACGACTCCAGGTCTAGGCGTATGGGCCCAGCTCAAGACTATGACATCAGGGAAGAGACTGACATGCCTCGATGTAACCCATAGCCATGACGGGCCATACCAGAGGGTTCACATCAAGAACAATGTAGGGCGTGCCGGTGCTGTTCCACCTAACCCTCGTACGAACGGTGACAGAGCGCGTCAGTTCGACCACGATGCCGCTAGGATGGGATGAAACGCCATGACCGAAAGACGATGCCTGCGCGTGGCGCCAGTGATAGACAGGGCCGTGAAGTGGAGCTGTCCCTATTGACATCTACAGGGTCGACAGGACCCGTATGAAAGAGAAGAAGGACCCAACGATCCTAGAACCTTTCCTCTCTCTCGTTCTTCTCCTTTTCCTCCGTTGGAACCCGTGCTTTTCCTTAGCCTATAAAAGGGAAAGCAGGGCATCCCCTGAAGGGGGGCCGATCGAATCACCCCGAACCAATCAGAACACGAGATAAACACACAAGAACATGACAAGAACATACGGCCGAGCAGCGATCGAGCTCTCAGCACCCATTCACTCTTTCCACCAGAGACTTGGGATCATTTTTCTCTCTCGCCTGTTTGTAACCCCTACTATAAACTTTCAGTGTTAGTAACATGAGCAGCAGCGATGAACTAGAAGTAGGGACTTTCTGCTCGAACTAGTATAAACCTCGTGTCCCCTAAGCACATCATCCGAGCCAGTCACGTAATATTAGAAATTTACTCATCGGTGGTAACTCGAAACACCAACAAGGTGGTTTGGCCTTGTCCAAAGGAGACCTCCAGAGGCACCAGTGCATTGTGGAGTCCTAAGCCAAGCTAATAATATTTGAGAAGGGGTAGAGGAAGACCGAAATTAACATGGGGAAAGCAATAAAAAGATATTTGAAAGTTTGGGATATACCTAGAGATCTATGTTTGAATATGAGTGCTTGAAAATCAGGTATTGAAGTGTCTGAACCGTGACTTGAGGTTCTTGGTGGGTTTCAACTCTAGCCTACCCCAATTTGATTGGCTGAAATGCTATATTGTTGTTGTTCTTATTGTTGTTGTTGTACAATGCAAAGGCCCGTTATTGAAAATATATGCAATTTGAACACAGATTCGGGATATAAGAATAGAAGGGACAGAAAAAGTGTATGTATATAGTCCTAGACCATTGCAAGTGCGCAACAAGCGAGATTCTTGATAACACAACTCAATGGTGAGTATGAAAAGTTCATATTACATACTGACTAGACGATATTCACATCTGATCTCATAAGAAACCATTTCGGCCCGTTCGGTTTGCTAAAACTTGGCTAAAACTGGCTGAAAAATATTATTCTGCCTCAATTGTTGTAAGAGACAAACACTGTTCCGGCTGAAAACAGAAGCCGAACAAACCGGCTTATGGCTAAACCGAACGGGGCCTTCTTCTCATGAAAGTACTATTACCAACATCTCTCTCTAAACTATTTTACAGCAAGAGCCTGTTGTGTTACATGATTACATCACCCCCAAATCAACAGTGCCAGCGTCTATTTCACATTCTTTCTTGGAACAGGGAAACAATACTCAAAATTCGCTCTCGCGCTCGATCCCATCATCTCGTACAAAAATACAGAGAAAACAGGGGACGAAATAATTACTTTCCCCGGACCAGGTCAACTATATGATCAGCGCTACTCTGTCTGGCTGAATTTTTCATTTTTAGTCTATTTTTTTTAAGTTTTCACAAATACATCCCCGTAGAAAATATTTTAGAATCTGAACCCGTACGTCTTAGCGCTTAGGGAATCTGAACCCGTACATGACGTCGAGCTCTTTGGCTCGAAGCGGACGTAGAGGTGACATGACATAAAGTTCGCGTCGATCGTCCCTAGCGCCGAGCTCGGCGTCGTTAACCTTGACGCCGAGCCTTTATTACGTATGGGCCCCGCCCTCTCTCCCTCTCTCACCCGAGCAGAGCAGAGCCGTCGTCGCCGCCCGCGCACGCGCCTCCACCGTCCGCATGCGCCTCGCTGCGCCCGCGCACGGACGGCCGCGCCGCGCTGCCACCGCGCCCGCACCGGCCGCCCCGCACCCTGAGGCCGCACAGGAGCGCCGCGCCGGTGCCCGCGCCCCTGCGCTCGCACCCCCGTCACCTCGCCGGTCCCTGCGCCCGTGCTGCGCCCTCGCCTCGCCCGACGTGCTGCCCGCAGCCGCCTTGGCCGCGGCGGTGCCGTGACCGTGACCGTGACCGTGCCGCCCGCCCCCGCCGGCCTCGGCCACGGCTGCCGTGACGCCCACGCCCGCCGAGCCGGACTCACCGTGCGGTTGACCGCAGCAGAGCATGCAGCCAGCGGCCACTCCAGCTGGTGAGCTCGGCGCCGGTCGCCAATGGAGGCTGGCGCGTTGGCCATGTGTGGAGGACTTTGGGCAGCGTTCCGGTTCCGTGTGTGTTAGACAGCCGCGGCTGCGACGGCGGCGGCCGCCCTGGAGGCAAACAGGGAGGCGGTAACCATGCTGCTGTATTCTTGGTCTTCCTGCAGGAAGGACCTGACGGCGTCAATGCATGGCCCGGCGGCGAGCCGCTGCCAGGCCTCGGCGGCGGCGTGGCCGCGCTTCAGGAACACCTCCGTGGCGTCGACGCGGCGGACGCGCCACATGCGCGCGAGCCGCTGGATCTTGCCGCGCTGGCGGAGGGCGAGCCGGGACGTGTTGGCCTTGATCTCGTCGACGGCGGCGGCGAGCATGCGCGCGCGCTGCTCGTCGCTGACGTCGCCGAGGCCGCGCGAACGGAGGTAGGCGTCGAGCTCCGGCACTCCGATGGCGCGCCAGATGCCCCTCGAGTAGTCGGTGCGGCGCGGGTCGAACGCCGCCGCCACCTCGTCGACGAGCCCGCGCCGGCACATCTCGTCGACGCGGCGGGCGACGAAGTCGTGCAGCACGGGGAGCTGCGCGTCCACCCAGAGGAAGCAGCACTCGTACCGCTCCCGGAACGCGCGGCGGTCCCCCTCGACGAGCTCCTCGACGTACGAGTTGGAGCCACCCGCGATGATGGGCACCCGGCCCCGCGACGCGACGCCGGCCGCGGCGCGCGCGGCCTCGCGGCGGAAGTCGGCCGCCGTGAACTCGGCGTCCGGGTGCACGACGCCCAGCAGGTGGTGCGGCACCCCCGCGCACTCGGCGGGGCCCACCTTGTTGGTGGCCACGTCCAGGCCGGCGTAGGCCTGGATCTTGTCGGAGTTGATGACCTCGCCGCCGAAGCGCAACGCGAGGTCGATCGCCATGCAGGACTTTCCGGTGCCCGTGGCGCCCAGCACCACGACGGCCTTGTGCTTGACCGCCACGCGCCTGCAGCCGACGACCGGCACCAGCGCCGCGGCGTCCGGGAGCGTGATCGACGTCGGCAGCGGCAACCTGGCCGCCATGGGGAAGCAGGCCGGCGGCGCTGCCATCGCGGGGGCCGCCATGGACAGTGGTATGTATGTATGCTGCCGGTCGGGGTCGTCTCTGCTTGTGATCACTGGTCGATGAGCTAGCTAGCTTGCTTGGCTGCTTGCTGCGTTCTTGCTGCTGGTCGCTTGGCTTGCTTGCTTGCTTGGGTGCGTGGTGTAGGAGCAGAGGAAAGCATGGGTATTTATAGGGCAGAGGGTTTCACTGGCTGGGTCTAAGTGCCGCTGGTGGTTGTGTTCTTGACGACTAGTTTAAGCTTTGGCTGAGGACTCCGTGCTGGATTCGTGGATGGATTGGATGCGGCGAATGGATTGCCGGTAGGGACGAAGCTAAAGCAAATCAATTAGAGGAAGGGTGTCCTTGCCTTGTCGGTGCATCGATTAAGTGTACGCACAGTGAAAAATCGACTCTGGCGCATCGTTGTCTTTATTTATTTATTTTTATTTACCTTTTTTTTTGCATTTTGGCGTGGGTGAGTTGTGGGGATCGGAGAGAGCACGAGCATCAGTGAACCGTGCAAGGGCAACAGGGCGGCATCTATGTTTAGTATGAATGGGACGAAGAGAGCAGACCCCAAATGGGGGCGGGGCGCCTCTCTGGGATCTCACGCATTGCGTGTGATCATCTGACCCAAATGCCTGAGCACATACGTGGGACGACTCCCCACTCCAATGGCGACGCGGCCGGACCGAACGGCTAGCCGCTGTGTGGACTCAGCTCTGGATCGGCTTGTTCCGACGTCGCCAGGAGCTAAATGCACTCGTACCACGGCCAGTCGCCGGCCACTCACCAGTCGCCATGGAGCCTTGTGCTGCCCACGCAGAAAACTGGTGATGAGCAGCCCATGCATGGGGACACCGGATGCTGCGGCGCCGGGGCACAGACACGGGCCACGGGGAGCTGCCGGAGGAAGAGGAGGCGGGGCGCCAGGCCGTCGTCATCCTACGATCCGTCCGTCTACCGGTAGCTGAGATGAGATCGAAATCGGACAGCTCAGGGTGACTGCGTCCAGGACAGAGCTGAGGCCGGGCGCGCCGCGGCGAGCTCGATCGCGCTGCGGTGCGTGCGCGCCCGTCCAGTCTCTGTTGCCCGGGCGCTTTTCGGCGGGCGGATGTGCAGGGCGCGCTACAACGACCGCGGTTGACTGCACCGCATGATTCGGTTTAGATAAGGTAGCGATGCAAGTACCGGCGGTGAGTGGCTTTTGGCCATCACACGAGCAAGGCAAGCGGCAAGCCAAGAGATAGTTGACCTCCGATCCATATCCATGGTGGGAATTAATCGCTGCCTTCATTCAGGAATGAGGACAAGAGTGCCTCGTCGCTTTCTTCCGTGCGGACTACCGGTCGTCACCGTCTTCTTCTTCTTTCGAAAACGACGTCACCATGTAGTCACAATGCATGCACGCAGTGTGGGCCTAATTCATATACATAGTCTTAGGGCACAATAGAATTGCCTTTTGACTCTGTACTCTCGATTCCACTATGTATTTCGGGAGTCCGCTAACCTAGATGACATCCTCTGCTAAGTTTAGGGGATTAGTCTAACGTTGTTGACACTAGCGTGAACCATCACATCGCAAACGGCGGGTCTAGCATAGACCCGTTTGGACCTGTGATGTAACGTGGGTCTAATTCATGTAAATGGATTTATATTTTGGAAGTTTAGGGACCTAAATGATATGCCTATCGGATCCCTGGTGCATTTCACGGACACAAATGTTCCATCACAGTGGTGCTAACATATGCGGCTATAAATAACGACACCTGGAGGCTGAAAGGCGCGGCGCAGCTTTTATTTGTGTTTTTTGTGAGCTCGTACGGTACGGTTGTGAGCTTTGTTTATGTTCCAACACACACACACAAGTGTTTAGCTGCGGCTGTGGCCTCTGGGGTGATGGTGAGGACGAGGACAGGACACCACCATGTCCGCAAGCTGCCAAGGAGGGGAAAGGGGCAAAAAGGCCGTCGGAAACGCATCGAAGAATCACCCACTCGCGCGCGCAAAGCAAAGGCGATCGAACGTACAGGACCCTAGACGCTCTCGCATCGTGCACGCACGGCATCCGGACGGACCGGTCGATCGGCCGGACGTCCATCCACAGGGCAGCAACAGCAACAGCGCCTGCGAGAGCGACTGCGCAGGTGCGCCACCGTACGACGTACGTCCCCGGTGCACGACGAGACGCGCCTGTCGCTACCTATTGATCGGGACGGGTGGTGGAGTGGATCGGAGGCCGCGCGCCGAAACGACGCGACGGTACGGTTCTTCTCGCTGGCGCCTGGCGCTGGTTGGGTGCGTGCCGTGGTGGTGGGCGGGCGGGGCGGCCAGTGGCGGCCGCGGCCAGTGCCTGGCCGAGCCCGCGCGCAATCATATTGGGCTACGGCGGCTACGGCCTACACGGGGACGGCAACGGGCTGCGGGCAAGTGGAGGGCGGAGTCGTTTCATCGCCTGGTTGGAGGACACGTGACGGGACGGACGCCCGGGGGTGTGTGGTGCGTGCGTGCCCGCCTCCGTCCAATCCAATCAGTTCGGCCAGTGCCACATCCTAGCCGCTATAGCCTGCCAGTGCTATGAGTAAGTGGGTGTTGGATCCAGTGACTAAATTTTAGTAGGTGTTATATGAAATTATCGTATGGGATGTTCGGATACTAATAAAAAAATTAAATTATAGAATCCATTAGTAATCAGCGAGACGAATTTATTAAATCTAATTAATCCGTCATTAGCACATGTTTACTGTAGCAACAAGTTGCCGAATCATGAATTAATTAGGCTTAAAATTTTCGTCTCGCAAAATAGTTTCAATCTATACATTAAGTTTCATATTTAATTTATATTTAGTACTTCATATATATGTGTAAATATCTAATGGACAGCGACTAGAAACGAAACCAAACACCGAAAAAGACAAGACGTGGAGTAGTGCCGCCGCCGCCGCATCCGGCGCGGGGGCGGCCAGGGCCGGTCAAAGTCAGGCAATAATACACAGACGAGGAAGCTCGTCACTGGAGCCCGAGCCTGCAGAAAAGAGCGAACAGCACCAGCGAGAGCCGACACTGGGTCTGTTCGCTGGTGGGTGCTGGTACTGGTTTGGATTGGCTGGTACTGGTTTTTTTGAAGAAAAAATACTATTGACTAGTTAGTTTGGGCTGGTTGAAACCAACAAACAAACAAGCTGACTGAGTTTGAGTGAGAGGCTTGCTTGCGTTGAGACTTGAGAGGAACAGCAGCCGCAGTGGCAGTGGTGCGGATGTGTCGCGTGGCACGACGTCGAGACTCGAGACGTCACGGCTCAGGAGTTCAGTCGGGTGGAAACAGCGGGCAAAGGATATATTGGTTGGAGGGGGGAGAAATGGATGGAAAAGAGGAGCGCCGGGAATGGGGTCAGCAAGAGCGAGCCGCACAATATATAATGCCAGTAGTATGCAAAGCGCGAGAAAATTGCAATCACAGAACATCATGCTTCGTAATTATAGGACTTCAATCGTCGATTTTAATTCTTGAGTTTCTTATTTTAGATGATATTTGACGTATTTTTTCATTTTGTTAATCAAAATACATGAATACGGTGTATGAGCCATGCACTACCACCTCCAGACAAGCCCCGTTCGCGTGCGCTTAAACCCGGCTCGATTCACTTCTTTTTTCCATTCAGAACAGTGTTTTTCTCTCATAAATTTCTCCAGATTCCTCCAAATTCATCCAAACGAACGGGGCCAATACCATGCCACATCCGGAACTTCCGTGTCACGAGTACACCCATGGCGGCCGGCTGCGGTGGATTGGGTTGGTTCACGGCGCCGGCGCCACGGCGACGGCGGAGACCATGCTATCGACGCCACAGACGTTGCTGCCGCGGCAGAGGCGGTAGTACCCTTGCTCCCCCCACTGCTTCCCCCATGAGTTCTTGATGATCCAAAGAGGGGCGGTGGCCGAGCCGCGGCCTTGCGCTTGCTTGCGCGCCGTAATAACGAGGAGCACGCCGTGGTTGACCCACGCCAGCAGCGCGGAGGAGCGGCACGACACCCCGCCCATGTACATCTACATGAACGCCGCGTTGAGCCCCACCGCGAGGGGCGCGCGCCGGACTAGCGCCGCACCGGATCTGGGCCTCGCCGCCGCGGCAAGGCACGGCGGTGAAGTTGAACACGACGGGCGGCTTGGGCTGGGTCGGCGGCGCGGGGGCCCGCGTGCCCGTGTGTGTGTCTGTGCTGCTGCTCCATCAGCCCGCCGGACTTCATCACGTCACGTGTACGCTGTTGGTCATCAGCCCGCCGGCACGGCCGTTGTTGCACTTCGTTTTGCGCGCCACCGCTGCTGCTGGAACATACAAGCCAAACCAGCATGCTCTAATAATCCTTCATCGAACTGGGCGAATTCATTCCAAGTGGGAAGACATCGAGAGCGCAGATGATGCACGTGCGGTGTGGTCGCGATCGACCACTGCTGCTCGCCGAGGTTGAGGAGCTTCCTGTGGCGAGGAAGTTGGCGCCTTCCACCGCGCCGTCGTGGTGAACGCCCAAAGACGACCCACACGCCGCCACGCATCTTGACGCCGGTGACGGCGCCTTGTCGCGCCAATCGAAGCGGCGGGCAGCCGCGCCACCTCATCTCTGCGAGGGTCGACGCACCACTCATCACGATCCGCCGGACGCCCCCGGCCGCGCGCGCGCCGTGAGGCGCGCCTCAAACTCCTCCCGCGTGAGGTCGGAGAAGGGCGTGACCCGTGGCGCGCGGTCGGGTCCAGCGCCTGGTGCGCCGCCGCCAGAGGCCAGGTTGGCCGCGAACACGCGCGCAGCCGACGCGCTTACTCCTCGGGCCCGGAGTACCGCCGCCCGTGCCGCCTCACGAACGCCGCGAACTGCGCCTCCGGGAGCAGCCCCGGGCCCGCGCCAGCGCGGGAACGACCATCCGTCACCTACCGGATGAATCCGCCGTCGTCGGCGGACGCGCCGGCGAGTGGTAGGAGCAGGATGAGGACGACGGCAAGCTGGGAAGCAAAAATACAGGTATTTTGATTAAAAAAAGGAAGAAATACGTCCGATACCATTAAAATAAGAAGCCAACGTTTTAAAGGTCATTTTAACGAAGTTGATTGAAATCCTATAATTACGAAACGCATTGTTTAGTGTCCTGTAATTTAATTTTTTCGCAAAGCGCGTGCAACAGTTCGGAGCACCTGCGTAGACGCGTCCGTCATCTAGAAGTAGAAGGGGACATGCACGGCAGGATCCACCGGCCGGCGGCTCAACGGCGGCCATACCGAAAACCAAGTTCCTGCTTGAAGCAGCTATTTAAAAAAAAACTTCTTTTATGCCACGCAAGAGCATTGCAAGTAATCTGCTTCCATCCGTTCCAAATTATAAATTATTTTGATTTTTTGAATTTATCTATTTTACTATGTATTTAGACATATTATTAAATCTAGATGCATAGTAAAATGGATGTAACAAAAAAGTCAAAGTGACTTATAATTTGGAACGAATGGAGTATATCTATACTTCTAATAATAAAGAGGCAAAATTTCAGCCTAATTTTTCGTCCATCCATTTTTTGTCCGTCTCTTTCTAACAACCAAACAATGAAGAGTTTCTTCCATCCGTGTGTATATATATATATATATATATATATAATAATAATCGTGGTCATACGAGTTAGAATAGTTATTATCGAGCACGATACGGAGTCTAATTCCAAAACATATTGGATCCATGCTCATATGTGTTATAACAACTTATCTCTAGCGATGATATGGACTCCGATTTTATTATATATTGAGTCCGTCCTACGTTTTTTTAAAGTTCCGGTTAGAATCGCTTTCCCGTTTTTATGTCCTTTTTTTGTTTTCAGTTTCGGTGAGAGTCCATCGGCCATGAACTTTTTTTCTATATTGTGTTTTGATGTTTTTTTAGATTTCCTTTTTCCAAGTTTCGTCTTTTTTTCGGTTCCCTTTAGAGTCATTTCCTGTTTTGATGTCTTTTTTATTTTGGTTTTTTTTCAATTTCGGTTAGAGTCTATCGACCATGAACTTTGTTTCGTTTAGAGTCCTTTTCGTGTTTTAATGTATTTTTTATTTCTGTTTTTTTCTAGTTCTGGTTAGAGTCCATTGGCCATAAACTTTTTTTTATATACCTTACAAAATTTCTGCCAATTTTTTGATCGCCTCATTTTGGTCTGATCCCTTTTAAATTCTACGTGTTTTTGGCGGAGACTACTAATCCTACTCGTTATTAGGGAGACTTAAAACAAAGTTCACGTACAACCCATACACGCACACAAAATAATAATAACAGGGCAAACAAGGAAATGAAGGAGAAATACGCATGCCTTAGGCAAGTAATTGGATCGAAGTCGAATCCAAATAGAAATAGAGAAAAATAACCACCATAAATACGTGATTGCACCAACAAAAAATTCGATCAGATCGTGGGCTCAGGGAAAATGTGTCGGCGAGATGCGTGTGCCGGACTGCCAGCCGCTTCGCCTTCATCAAAACTTAACTATCTGAGTCGTCGATGCCGTGTGGTCGCCCTCCGTTGCCCCGCCGAGGCTGCGCGCGTGACGCCTGCCTGCCCGCCTGCGCAGCCACACGTTCATGCACAGCGCCAAGCCCGGTGCTCCTCCCGTCGGCGTGTAGCGCCGAGAGGCCCCACACACCGTGCTTCAGAGCTGGTCTTGGTCCCTGTAGCGGCGGCGGCGCTCCTCCATCTCCAGCAGGTGGAGGCAGCGGAAGCGGAGGACGAGGAACATGTGTGCGACGAAGATGAAGGCGACGGCGGAGGGGTCGTCCGCGAGTTCACCTTCCCAGTCGCTCGCGCGCTCCGCGAGTTCGATGCCGCAGCCACCCGATCGTCCGAGAGTTCGCCGTCCCGGTCGCTCGCGCGCTCCATGGGTTCGCCACCGAACCATGACTTCAGACACCGAGGACTGCTGCTGATGCAATAAGTTTTTCCGGGATTATAGCCTTTGTGCGGTTAATAAAATCATTTTTGATAATTAATGATATTTTAATAAAACTGATTTATATAATTACAGACATAAGAGTTATTATTTTTGTTTCTCTCCCGTGAAAAAACCGAGTCCAAGTTTAATCTCTCCAAAGATTATTAAGTAGAAAAAATACACTTCAAACATTTTCTTTTTATTATTAGTTTCTAAAAAAACATACATGTCATGGTCTCCAGCTGCCGTCCATGGAGAAAACAACTTGTCGGCAAACACACTTTGTAGTGGTGGTTTGTGCTCACAGTAGTCAACCACCCAGCCAGGGTTGGGGATCCCTGGTCTTGCACCTTCATATAGCTGCGAGCCTCTCCCTGCTGGCTCTAAAAAACAACTCTTCGTTGTGTCTGACACGCACCTAGCTCACGCCCAAAACATTCAAAAATGAAATTTTCGTTGATGTTCTGCCTCTTAATATTTTCATAAATGAAAATAGTGGTCGGAGATTCAATTCCAGCCAACCAGATTCTGTGAGACTACGGGCGTGTTTGATATGGGCCAAAACCCCTTCGGCCGCGCTCTCCAGCTGCAAGTAGCCATGTTTGTTTCATTTGGCCCGGCTGGGAGCCTGGCCACGTGCGTGCATTTCTCCCTCGCTCTTCTGCATCCCACGAAACGCTCCTAGGGTTCATTTTTTCACAGCTTGGCTCTCTCCGAGCTCGCGCTGGCGATTTTGGGCGGCAGCGGCTGGCTCTGGCGGGCTCGCGCGGGAAGGAGGAAACTTCCACGCGCTCCCTTCCCCGCCGAAATCCGACGGCTTTATAAGCCGCCCTCCTCCCCTGCCCGTGTTCTTCTCCTCTTCCTCTCGCCTTCCCGTCCCCATTTCCACCCAGTCCACTCCCGTTGTGTCGGTGTTTCGTAAACCGGACTAATGCCGCGCTGCTCTAGTAAGACGATGGTAGCATCCAATATACACGAGGATTTATACTGGTTCAGGCCGGAGTCCTACGTCCAGTCTCGGAGAAAATCGAGTGTGTGTTCCTTGCTTGAATGCTCTGAAGTTCTTACAATCGAGGGTGCAAGAATGGTGAAAGAGGTGGTAGAACCTATGCTAGACGAGGGGCAGCCCGAAGAGAAGCTCCAAGAGCCCTGCTCCTATGGATGGAATGGTAGAGGATGAAGAGTCTGTCGATGGGTGCCCTCGCCGCCCTTATATAGAGTTTGGGGCCAAGGCTCGTTACAAAGAGAAGGTTCCCCCGATCGAAGGGTCGAGAGCCTGGGGTAGGTCCTAGCTAACTTGGCTTACAAGCTACGCCGTCTTCTGGTGCCCGCCCGGGCGTGGCTATCGTCAAGGTTGAAGGGTCGAGATGGCGGACTAGAGGGGGGGTGAATAGTCTTTTCTACAAATAATCGCGTCGGCTAACCGATATAAATGCGGAATTAAAACAATCGGTCTAGCCAAAACTACACCTCTCTATATATATTCACTAGCACCTTGCAAAGATACTACAATAAAGCAACTAAGGTGCCGGGCTAGCTAGAGCTCCTAAACAATTCTAGGAGCAAGGTCACACAAACCTATGCCACTAGTACTTTAAGTAACAAGGAGCTCCTACACATGCTAGTAAGCAAAAGCACAAAGCTAACTAAGCTCACTAGCAATGCTCAATAACAAGACAACCAATGCCTAATTAGAGATGCAAATACTTAGCTACACAAACTAAGCAATGTGACTAACAAGGTTACTAAAACCAAATTAGCCACGCAAGGGAGCTACTTCTATGCTACACAAGCAAGAAGGTAATTAGCTAGCTACACAAGCTATCTAATTACAAGAGCAACTACACAAGCTTAAGATATATATATAAGTAATTGCAAGCTTGTGTAATGGGCAAACCAACGGGAAGAACAAGGTTGACACGATGATTTTTCTCCCGAGGTTCACGTGTTTGCCAACACGCTAGTCCCTGCCAGTGTCGACCGCTCACTTGGTGGTTCGGCGACTAATTAGCATCACCCGCTAAGCCCGCGTCGCCGGCACCGCAAGAACCCTACCCCTTGAGTGAGGGTAGCTCAATGACACGCTTTACTAA